GAAAAACAGGAGACACAGCCGGGAAGAATTTTGAAAAATAAAATCATTAATCTTTACCTCTACCACCTTTTCATTTTTATTTTTTTTATTAAGATCCCAAAAGAATAAATGGGAACTTGAGTTTGGAACACAAAACAAGCGAGCTCAGGTCCACACCCTGACTACCTGTATCTTTCAAAAGACAGCACACAATTCTGGCCTCTTGACACCGATCATGCAAGATCCAGGACAAGCAGCCAAGCTGGGGCATGATACAGAATTCCAAAACAGGGCACGGAAGGTAACAGACAGAAGCCCGAGCTGGAATCACAGACCAGTTTGTTTCCAGCCCTTTCCCAGAGCAACAGTGGCACAGTGTCATGGAATCATCCTGCACAGATCTTACCACACCAAAAAAAGCACGACACTAAACAGCAATCCTGGATGGCCCTGGAAAGCAGCTGCAGGACTATCATTAATCGGGGTCTGTGAAACTGATCCTTAATAAGTGACGTACACCAAGCAGAAAATCGCACAAAAACAAATGCTTCTTACTTCAGTGGCAATTCACAACAGAGTTTCCTAGGTTTTGGTAAAGGGCAAAAAATCACATCTCCTCACGTCTTTTGCACAGTTTGGTCCAAGAACTATGAACAGGTAGTGTTCATGAACACTATGAACACAATAGTGTACCACTATTTTCCCTATTAATCTGTCTCTGTCAAGCCTTTCAAACCTGGCTGTTTAATTTTTACATCTTGAACTTGGGTTAGGATGCATGCCTCACTGGAACTGTTATTCAATTCTGATATAACAGCAGCTCGAAAGTTCAAAAGGAGAGCCACTCTATTTCTTCAACACCTTAACAGCCTTGCATTGCTTAATAGTCACGCACCTCCAGTCCAGCGACTCCTTGGAAAACATTTAGAGAGGCATTCCTCAAGTATGGTTCTTCACTGGAACCTGGTGATTAATTGCACAACACAAGCTCAAGTTGCAGGTCGCGCAAAACACAGATAGCTTGCTCTCTCCCCAACACAACAAAAATAACCACAAGGAGAAAGGATTGGTTTAGAAAGCACTGTGCAATACCTTTCCACATCACGGTCATCATTTGCTACCTGCTGAACAGGAAACAGAAGAATGCTTTCCAAATAATCAACTATCGTTTTCACTTACTGTTAAGTACGCTTTAACAGTGCACTCCAGAACATAAACAAGATGTTGCATCTCTGGGGGCTAATCTGATGTTCACATAAAAATGAAAATAGCATCACCTTAAAGAATGCAGACAGGCAATACAGTGCGATAATGCTCTTTGACCTTCCCAAACAGAGAGAGCTCACTGCAAAGAATTCTAAACGCATAACTTGAAAGATGTGCAAACAGTGATGATAGCTTTATACGTAACTGTCATTACTATATGTCAAACACCCAAGTTTTTCCATGTCAGGCAGCACTTTGGTTCCTAAATCAGGTACGTGAGCTATAATCATGTCTTTAAGGCAAATCTTCAATCCGTTTTTCATTTCCACACACGCAAACCTGTTGATTACAGGTAATGAATTTAAAACCAAAGGTTTAAATTCTAACAGCTTGTAAATGGTTTATCATTGTGGCTCTGCAATGCATGCAGATTTATCCACCCACTGGATTCTTTCCACCATTCTACGGCCGTTTGAAAGGATCATGTTAATTGCACTGAAACATTTTCAGCTCATTTCACAATGAACATGTTTGTCACTATTTCTTTTTAAATCAGGTTTCAGTTTAACAAGTTGGTGCTTTGTTTCAAAGCTGGATGCTGGTTATCTCACTTCTGTGGGACAAGTTCCATAAATTTTAAACAGTCTATAAATCACAGCAAACACGTACTGTATATGAAAAAATATGGAAAGAAATACTGAAAAATGTAAAACTCCCAATGAAGCTAGAATCATATTTAAATTAAGGGGGATTGAATAAAAGAATAAGGCAATAAAACGTTCTCTGTAGAGTTAAGGAAAAAAATCCCTTCACATCTGTGAATGACATACAGTAGCTGAGTTTTGTTCTTTTGGTGTGTACAACCCTCATACTTCTGAGCTGACCAAATAAAGGCATTCTTGTACCACAGCGCAGAGCAGAAACCCACAGAAGATTAGGTCATGGTGGATAAAGTCTGTTTTTCATTGCTTTAAGATAAAGGTGGGTCATGCGAATAAGACATTACATTATAAGGTGTGAACCACAAATTTCATTACATCACATCCAAATCCAGTGTATCTCAACTGTATTGCTTGGTGAAGTATTTGCAAGTTAATGAGAGCTTGTGGCATTATACTGATTAAATAAATGTATGTTGAATAGCATTTGCATATGTCACAGAAATTGTTACACAAATCTGATCTTCCAACAGGCGTCTACGCCGGCTTTGCAAGTCAAAATATAGTGGAGACAAAAAACAAAAATAGTTCGGAATTGTATTATTCCCTATTGAAATCTGCCATGCAAATGGGGACGGGGAATAGAATGAAAGAAAGCCTTCATACATAAAGACGGCTATGAGCTCTTCAATTCTGCGGTCCATCTTCTCCCCAGCTGCCACAAACGCGCAGCTGAGAGACTCTTAAGTTATGCCATTTCCTTCATCACCCTACGAAGCAGAGAGTCTGCATTAAGACTCTGTCTTCGAGTCTGGACATTGGTTACAGGCTCACATACTGTACAATTTTTCATGTGCACAGGGACAGAATAATAGGCGTTTATTAATCAAAACCAGGCGGTTCGCTTCCTTTAAAACCCCAGACACCAGCCAGCATTTTACTTGTCCGTTAAAGCCACCAGAGGATTCTGCCACCTAACCAGGCTGTAATGGTCAAAACCTACGTTAGTTTCTAATTGTCTTGTCAAGTGATTATCACTCATCATTATCTGGTTGACTGCGACAGAAAGGAGTTTCTGAAAACATCCAGAGGCTTAGATTACTGTCAAAACATTTTTTTTTTAATTACAACTGGCAGGACTACCTCGCCATTCTGCTGTTTTACAGCTTTGCTCAAAATAAACAAAAAATAACTTAAGCAAGATATCCGATACATTTTCCATCTGCGCCTGAGAAAAAACAAACACTGTTCTACGTGTGCCATTCCGAACTTTAAAAAGTACTTTTGACTGTGTGTTGTCTCACAGAAGATCTCTTGTCTCGTTTCCTTTTTTGCAACCCAAACGTTGTATACTGCTGCAATGCACTGAAAGTGAGCTGCACACGCCCCGCTATATCCATTTTGTCACAGCTTTCCCTGTAATTACAAATGTAGTTCCATGCGAGTTCACCATATGCTTTCCAATCGTTCATGTTTTATCTGGCTTCTACAGCAGTCGCTTATGCTAACCCGCCTTGCACATGGTTTAGAGCAGGGGCAGCGAGCACTGGCACGTCCGCATCACGGTGAGGATCTGTCCCAGACAATCCCAACTAATCAGAGATCTTCGAGCACCTGGGTTACGCCATGACGAGTCAGTTCAGTAAATGATTTATAAGGACTATGGCAGGGGTCCCCTATACTGGTCCTGGAGGGCTGGTGTTTCAGTTTCAGTCCAGCTGGGCTCTTACCAGCCTGAATCAGCTCATTATTGGCTTAAATTGACCTGTTCAACAGCTTCGCCCAGCTCTTCAAGCTCTGCTCCGAAGGGACCAGGAATGGACACCCAAACCTCCGGCAAGAAATGGATTTGACTACCCCCCTGACTCAGAGGAAGACGATGCACTGCCGATATGTGTGTGTGAAGCAGAGCAACAGCGTTCAGCCAAACTCTTCTGAGCGGCTGCTGCTGTAGAAATAACGGGTCAAAGCACAGACGTTTCTCCGCTTCCCGGAAAGCTGGTTTCAGGACTGCTGGTTATCTCAAGTTAAACCATTTAATCAGCTGGAGAACTGGCTACAAAAGGATACATACATGTATGTAACGATCATATTTCAGCTTTCGGCGACGGTAAAGTGCAAAAAGATTGAAGGATTGGTAACAAAACCTACAGCGGTGAACTCTAAAACACGACCGGTCGTTACAGTGTAAAAGAGACAGAACAGCCGACTTCAGAAAAGCTGCACAATGCTTCTTTCTCTGCAGCTCTGTATTAGATTAATCCACAGGTAAACACTCATTTAAAGAAATAATTCATAAGCGAAAGTTAGAAGCTGTTGTTTTTTTTTTAACTAGGTTTAAGATTCTGTGTCATTACCAAAAGTTCATCGAGAACCTAGCCATGATTGAATAAAAGCAGGAGATGGCATCACACAAAATAATTGAAGCATTATTTGGATTAGTTCTGATTTCAGTGATCACTTAAGCACCCACCCGGACCCATCACCAAGTGAAACTACGGACCCAAATATAGTAACTTTCAAAGTACTACTGAAAGAATGACAACAATTTAAATCCCAATCATATCAAGATATCATATACCCAAACTACATCTTCCCATACAGCGACCAAAGTAAATCTGTCATAGCTAACTGATGAAACAAAATATGTTGTACCAAAAAAAGTGTCCTTAAATCGTTAACAGAATTAGTAACCTAGAATAAAAGAATTTGCATTTTCCATCTCTTCCCCAACGCAACCCCAAACACTGCTCTCGATTCTGCAATCCCTAGGACAAGAATAAAAAGCCTTGAAACAAAAATAAGAAGCCAAGATAAAACAAATAATAACCACCAGTATATTGCAGTGCAATATTCGATAAATAATGATAAAGCGCATTTTTTTCCTGCATTCATCTCTGTTCCGTGCCCTTGTCAAAATACAGGATACAGTTAAAACAGAAACAAGCCGATATAAAGCACGATACAGGCCGTAGTTCAATATACCTCTGTTAATGCACCACCATCTAATTCAAAACGGGTAAACGAGGCAACAGTGGGGTCTTTAATTGAGCAGATATAAAAAGTAACAGTAAAGAGGGTGGACACTAGCCGTTTCGCACTGCACTTTTATATTTAAAGAGCATCCTAACCGGGCAGAAGGAAAACATCACTTACTTTCTCTTGTATTCGTCTCTTTCTCGCTTGACTTTGGCCAGCACGTTGTACAGCGCTCTGATTTCGGGGGTGATGGTATCGATCTGGACCCCGACCCCGTCCGGATGTGTCCAAGTCACGCCGGGTCCCTGAAGCGTCTCGAACCGCTCCCCGTGTCTTCGGACGTGGGTGAAGCTCCAGATGGTGCCGGGCAGCCGGGAGTGCAGGTAGGGGGGCCCGGGCATCTGCGGTTCCGAGGACGTGAAGTCGGTCTGGACCGCTTGCTCTCGGGTGTATCGGTATCGGGGCTGCTGCTCTAGCAAGGCTTGCTGCAGCTGCTTCTCCAATAACTTGTTCCTGCGCTCCAGTTCGTGTACTTTGGCGAGGAAGCACCGGAACCGTAGGTTGAGGGTCTTCAGGACGTGGATGTTGGATCCCAAGTCGTTGCGCAGAGCGCTGGTCACCGGCGCGCCCGAACCTCCAGTAGCGGCTCCGCTGACGGGGACAACGACCCCCGCCGCTGCCTCCGCGAAAAGTAAAGAGTTCATCATTTTTGTCTCTTAACAAACTGCGAAAAAAAAATAATCCGACGTATACCCAACTCAATATATCTCGGTGAAAGCTGCGTCTCCGTTTCGTCTGTGTTTAAAAGCCAACGCCAGTGTTCTCGTCCTCTCTCCCCCCACCAGCACCCCCGTCCAAAAAAAAAAAGGCCAGAGAGTCCTCCGCGGACTTTCCTATGCTGCGAATCCTTGAAATGAGGCTGGCAATGCGGCTGGATCTGGTGCAGCCATTGCTGTCATTCCTTTCGCGTAAAGAAAAATTGGCGACCTTTTTTCTTTTAAGATCCCGGATTAAAAAATAATAATATGATAAGTATATAAAAAACAAAACAAAAATAAAACAGTATAAAAGAGGCCGCTAGCTTTGTTTTTCCATGCTCAGACCTAAGGATGGGCATGCGGTGTTACTGGCGCATCCCTTGCTGTCATTTTGTCTGAAACGCATACAGTAATATGAAACACGGTGCGCCCGGCTTTCTGCTTTATCGCTTGTGCTGCTGATGCTGTAATGTCTCTCGATTTACATCCGCCTCCTTACGCTGTTTCAAGCCTCTGCCATTCGCTTTCGGCAACTCCTTTGCAGCAGTCGTGCGCATCCGAGCGCTGCCTCCTAGGGGCTCCAGGATCGTGTTGCAACACCGGGCAGCCGAATCCCATCCCGAGCGAAGTTCGGAGGCAGAAAACCTGTCTGAAGTCAAATGATTAACTCAATAATATTAATTTACTTGGTCTGGTGGGCTTT